GTGGGTGGAGGCTAGCCGTGGGATGATGGGGTCATGGGAGTGGGTGGTGATGTTGTCAGATTATTGTTTAAAGTTCCCAATGGTGATCTCACAGAGGCTTACTGAGTCAATGAGGGTGCGAGAGAGCAGTCTCCTTCTGCTCTTTGTCTCTTTATTAGCATTCCTGTTACACTGCGATTTATTCAAGACACTCCGAGCCTCGGAAACATCGTTTTGCTCTTAGATAAACATCTAAAACTTTGGCTGTGAGAAACTGAAAGTGAGCAGATGTCACTGACTGAAAAATGTGATGTTTAATGTAAAAGTTTTTTGGCAGGGGTTGAAAATCCAAGAAACCGCCACCTCGATGTCACCCACGGGTTTGTGAAGCCTCGATTTTAGCATTTTGACCTTCACTGTGTTGTTATTTCAAACCAAGAAGTGCTAATGTGTGAGCTAGGTTATCAAGCTCCATCACTAGACTGTATGGGTACACATGCACATACACCTGTTAATTAGTGCTAAGTAACATCTAAATTAAACTAGTATTTAACTATAACCAGGGCGCACACTTCTTGAACAGACTGTTCAGTTCATTAAAACCATAAATTGGGCTGAGAGGTTGAGTTTAGTAACGGAGTTAACAGAGAAAGCAGACACGCCCCTAATGAGGAAGTCTTAATAATATTTAGGCAGGTGAGTGTTAAGAAATCCCATGCAGAGTTGTCATGATGGAAAAAAGTAGCTTTAAAGACCAAATCTTTTTTAATAATGAGACTATGCATTTTAATGAGTCGGCCTCAAGTGGCCACTAGAAGAACTGCAGCTTTACTACTTTGTTTTGCTCATTTTTAACCCCGAAAGCTTGTTTATATCTCTCAAATCAAGAAGCCAGTAGCAGCTTTGTTCGGGTAAGCAGAGCTAAAAAGTAACATCAGTGTACTAACATACTGATGTTTACCATTTTTACTGTCTCAGTATTCTTAAAATAGCTAATCAGAACGAGACATTAGTTTTCTCATGAAACACATTATTGGACTTTGATCTGATTATCGTGCCAGATGAAAAAAGGGAGGCTAACAAAAGTTAATGCAGTTAATTTATCAGTGGGTGCATAAATGTTTGCTCTTTGTCCAAGTCTATTCAAAGGTTCCAGTAAATCATAAAACGTTTCACTCTGGTCTATGTGTTCGTTCTCAAACCCTTGTTGCATTGGCACTGATTTAATAATATGCCTTTAGGAGAA